TGCAAACTTTATATTTAAGAACAGTATTAAAATAAAAGTCCCAACCATGCAACACGATTGGGACCTACTTAAAAAAAAATTGTGTGATTGACTAGTTTGCTGGGTGAGTAATATTTATGAGCCAAACTTTGGATTCTGCCGTTGTTTCTACAATGACATTTTGTGTGAGGCAAAGTCCTTGGATTAAAATAAAAACTTAGGAAAAAATTAAATAAACAAAACCCCTCCATGCTGCTGTTGGTGTGTGCAAGGTGAAAGGCTGAATGACCCAAAGGACAGATTTCACACAGGAGGCGGGGCCGAGTGCCCTCTGTGAGAAGGGGCGGGGCCGGAACACTCCTTGAGAGGAGGTGGGGCCACGTGCCCTCTGCGATAGGAGGGGAGCTACGTGCCCTGCGTGAGAAGAGGCGCGGCCGCGTGCCCTGCGTGAGAGGGGCGCTACGTGCCCAGCGTGAGAGGAGGCGGGGCCGCGTGCCCTATTGAGAGGAGGTGTGGGCACGTACCCTGCGTGAAAGGAGGGGCACTACGTGCCCTGCGTGAGAGGAAGCTTGGATGCGTGCCCTGCGTGGGAGGAGGTGGGGCCGCATGCCCTGTGTGATAGGAGGGGCGCTACGTGCCCTGCGTGAGAGGAGGCGGGGCCACGTGCCCTGCCTGAGAGGAAAGGCGCTACGTGCCCTCCGTGGGAGGAGGCGGGGCCGCGTGCCCTGTGTGATAAGAGGGGCGCTGTGTGCCCTGCGTGAGAGGAGGCGGGGCCATGCCCTGCGTGAGAGGAGGAGCGCTCCATGGCCTGTGTGAGAGGAGCGGCACTGCGTGGCCTACGTGAGAGGACGGGCGCTGTTTGCCCTGCGTCAGAGGAGGCGGGGCCGCGTGTCCTGTGTGAAAGGAGGCGGGACCGCGTGCCGTGCTTTGGAGGACATGTTAGAGGAAGGGGGCCGCGCCCTGCGTGAGAGGAGGTGGCTGCCCCGCCCAGGATTAGAGGAGTGGAGGCCACGTGCCTTGCGTGAGAGGAGGTGGGGCGACCGCTCCCTGAATCAGAGGCCGCAGCTTCACTCAGTTAGTGCAGACACGCAGGTGCCATGTCACTTGGAACTACTGCGTCCCTGTGAGTGATTCTGACCTCCCTGTTCTCAGACCAGAGGCCCCAAGAGCGAGTGAGGCCTGCCCATCCTAAGACCTGAGGCTATAGTGACTGAGACCTTCCTGTAGCCAGACCTGAGGCCCCAAGGGTGAGTGAGATCTTCCTGTCCCAGCCCCGGGGGCACCGCCTTCCTGTCCACAGCCACCTGCTGAGGGGCAGCTGGTCCTCAGAGACCCGGGAGAGGCTCCGTGTGGGAATTTGGAAATGGGGAAACCACAATTGCCACCACACCGAGGTCCGCCAGCCCAGGACGTGGTGGCCACAGGTGTGACGACCCCGTGGTGTCCTCTCCACGCTGATGTGATATCA